AACAAGCTTTCTAGATATTCTATATCCTTAAATTCCTAGAAACGAACTGAAGGGGCAATCCATGTATCTGATGAAAGTGTAGTCAATGTACAGGCAAACTACCAACTTGACTACCAAGTCGATCATGGTAGTTTTTTATAACAAACCAATGCCCTATCTGCTTAAAGTTTATTACGTACAGTAAATAGTAAAATTAAAAAAATATTTCCCTTTTTCACAAAATATAAGTAATTCTGTTCACGTTTTTAGGTTAAATTGCTGCATTATACTTCCTATTTTACTATATTTGTTCGATGTGAACATACACTGCGTGACTCATACATACCCTGGCAAGCAATTAATGTCAATACACAATATCAAATCGTCCAGGTTTTTTGGATTTTAACTAGTTGAGAAACAATCTTTCAGGTAGAATTTGACGATACGTTTAGTCCCGTTAGTTCTTACTTTTAATGTAAAAAAATGGGGAATTTTTTTTACAAATTTTACCATAGAAAATTCGTGACGTAGTAAATTTAAATATTATACAAAGAGCCCAGAATTATATCATATAATTTATAATATACGGTGGCGCCATCTTTCGCTAAATAATATTCATGACATCAGTAGCAACCACTAAAAAATGAATCATGAATGTCATTGAAGGCTATGGAGGTGTACAACAAGTAAGCATCCGCAATTGTTCACCGTTGCACTATTTCGTCTCTAGAAAAGGCTTTTTTGGCATTATAGAAAGCATTAGAAGTACAAATTATTCGTGTTGTGTAATTGTGCCATTCAGCTAGTGGCGTAGCCATGGTCGCCGTCGGCCATTTTTGTGTATGAAACGGGATCCGACTACTCTGTAGAAATTCGCATCATAGAGCTGGCAAAAGTTTCGAGCGGAGCATAGAGCACGAATCTGTAGTTATTTAACATGAATAAGTGTATGTTTTGTCCGCGGCAGTGAACAGACACAGGCATACACCACCTTCGCCACACAAATACAGACACGCACGCACACACGCACACACAAATACAGACACGCACGCACGCACGCACACACAAATTCAGACACGCACGCACGCACGCACACAAATACAGACACGCACGCACGCACACACAAATACAGACACGCACGCACGCACACACAAATACAGACACGCACTTCTAATACAGATGTAGGCCTACGTGACACACGTATACCGGCCTATACATCGCCCCATAAATACTTTTTTCGAGGCATTGAGTAACCTGCGGAATTAGTTGAGAAAGAGATATATCGTTTCGAGTCACCATCACGCGGATATGACGAACAAAAAGTCATTGGCAAGTCTTATTTAGTTCTATTACATTACCGTACGTATATACGCTAACGGCGATGCAACATAGATAGCAGCAAGAGCGTATTAAAAGGATACTGTTAAGGTTACGGACGGGTAACACTATAAAGAGCATTGCAACATAACTGCTCATCAAATTCAACCAAAGTCATATCCATTACATGAGAGAGATGTCTCGCTACGCTCTCGATGAATTTTTTTTTTTAATTCATCGCTAATTCAGTGACGGCAAAAATTGTGAATTTATACAAAAAAATGCGTTTTTGTTATTTCTCAGAAACAGCAAAGAGTTGGGACCTAAACTTTTAACCATAAGTTGTTCATAATATGAACTAAAAAATGGTCCCTGGAATTTCTTTAAAATGCTTTAATTTGGGAAATAAGTTGAAAAGATGTACGAAAATGTGTAGTTAAGAGCACACTGAATACGTTCTTGATAGCAGCAATTTATCTCTTGATATCATTATCGTGAATGTGATGTTTTTGCCTTTACGTCATGTGAGCTGGATTTCTTAGTAGGCGTTGTGTAATCTTGAAACAGCTCATATCCTGTAACGTATCACCAACGTACTGTACTAGGAGATCGAAGGCCGTGTTTGCGCAAATACCAGTTTGTGTATCCCATGTTCTCGATTGACGCATTTCATACATCATTTTACTCGCGCAGTCCGTGCAACAACGACGTGTCTGTTGTAATAGGTTGTTATCAACGCTGTGGTGTAGGCTGTTCCTGCGCTGCCCTCCATTTACGTCCTTGGTGCCAAAAATAGCAAATGACATCACGAGTTTAGACGGAAAGTGTACAGGTGCATTCTTTAGGCAGCAATAGTATTTGAACCGGACCCGTTCTGTAGGCACGTTCATCTGTTCTACCTCATAAGCTCACAAATGTTAGTCTTCAAAAGTCCTGGGGACTATAACGAAGACGGAGAGAGAAGTGGATCAAATCGATAGATCCACACTGCGGATCGCAGTGGAAAAGGTTGCAAATTTGCAATTTACGAAATTGCACACGCATTCTATTTGTTAAAGACAACAGGGGCAGTTTTTAAATACAATTATATATGGTTTTTCAATACATTAATTAAAATTAATGTTCGATATTTGCGTGGTCTTGCTGTATCGAGTGAGTTTACAGGAATTATAATAATGGCTCACACGACACACACCATTTTTACTAGAGCTTCGCTATAATACGTGACTACTACAGCGAGACTATTTTACCAACATCTGTATACATTATGGATAGATATAGGCCCCCTATAGCTTATATCCAAAATTTCATCGCGTGCGGCATTTAGCGGGAGCTGATTGCGAGAGTAACAGCCAAAGGTTTAGAGGATGTACTTACTTTCCCAGATCTGTACACGTGCCGATAACGAGTTTCCTCTTTCCGGTCTAGTATAGAAGCGCGATTATTGCTAACCCGATAACTCTGCGCGCGCGTGTGTGTGTGTGCGTGTGCGTGTGCGCGCGCGTGTGTGTGTGTGCGTGTGCGCGCGCGCGTGTGTGCGTGTGCGCGCGCGTGTGCGTGTGTTCGCGCGCGTGTGTCCACACATTCGCATTCTTGCTGTGTATACTTATCCTTCGATTTATATTATGTATATAACGAATGTGATAATATACTATATCATTATTTATCCTATGTTAATTTGCTATATATAATCAATCTATGAAAGCCTGCTTTTAAATTAATATGCACAAGTTGCAACTCGAGGTACAATGATCGCCCGCCAGTCTTTTCACGTTCAGTCCACGCGAACGTGAACTTCGTCTACGAAATTCTCTAATATATATAGATGTATATAGTCGCAAGACTTTTCGTATTGGCCAGTTTGGCCTGCATGTATATTTTTATCGGGAGAACGTATAAATTATGACAAGATTGAATAGGAACCAACGCGGAGAGCCACCGCGTAATTTTAATAAGTTACTTTTTTTTGGAATAGCTCTGCTATGCGATATTCTTTTACATTCAGAGTACGGCAGCAGTTAACTTTGTACCGAACATAACAATATATATATATATATATATATACTATATATATCATCATAAACAAAGTCAATGTTATAGAATAAGGGTTTTAAGTCCTAACTTGACAAGCTTTCGAGATTACATCTCTTTATCCAGGTCAGCAGACCATTGGAATAGAATCAAATAATCAAAAACAAATTACAATGCGTTATAGATAATCCAAAATGAATGATTCACACAATTCGCGCACGTGTAACATTGCGAAAACGACTAAGTAACATAACTCTTTTATATATATATACATACTAGATATACTTCAGGTTTGGAACGCACGAACCATCGCTATATATATATTGTAGTTTCCATTGCAAACTTCGCGCAAGATTACGTCAGCGTTTGGTGCGTGTACGTCGCGCATACACCGATGCACGTGTAACATTGCGAAAACGACTAAGTAACATAACTCTTATATATAATATATATATACATACTAGATATACTTCAGGTCTTGGAACCGCACGAACGCATCGCCTTATTAATATATTGTAGTTCGTATTGCAAACTTCAGCGCAAGTTACGTCAGCGTTTGGTGTGTTGGTTACGTCGGCGATACCAGCCGATACTGTCTCATTGTTTGTTCGCGTTCTACTTGCCAACGCACTTTTAAAAAATTGGTGCATTCTGAGAGCATCTGAGCAGCATAATTTTTGATGTCAGAATGCAAGAAATTTTATTCAATACCGGTTCCCCGGAGGCCTGCGGACCCCTCTCTTGCCCATGTTCTAGTTTTTATAACAGCAATTTAGCATATATATATATAAGTACATCTTTTATCAGAAAAAACTAGCGCTAAACAATATCTTTTTTTAATGGCCAGACAATGATAAGAGAAGTGTGGTGTGTTGGTGTGTGGTGTGTGTGTGTGTGTCCTGTGTGTGTGTTGTCGCGTGTGTGCTGCCTGTGTTTGTGTGCGTGCGTCTGCGTGCGGTGCGTGCGGTGCGTAAGCGTGCGTGCGTTGCGTGCGTGTGTGTGTATGCTTCTTCTATTTTTTGTGGTAAAAAGGGGGGGGTCCGGACCCCCTCGACCCCCCCTCTGGATCCGCCCCTGTAGTATGTCATTCATTAATTCACTACAGATTGGTAAATTACCTATGCACTGATCTATATATGCAAGTATTATGATTTTGATTTTATTAACTCCTAGATATTACAATCATATATATCAGGTCTCTCGATCTTCACTTCGTAATAGTCGTGTGGACTTTGAAAGACTTTTACGAGGTACATGTGACTACGAGATGAAATGCCGTTATACACGTCAGATGAGGACGTATATATTGATATTTTCAAGAGCTAATTATACATAATGTATATATAATGAATTAGCTCTTGATATTTTTAGTCTCCTTATTTATTACATATCTATTGGTGTAAATTGACATACTGTTTATTTAATCAACTTAGTCTCTTTCCGCCATCTGTATATAGTCCTTTGGACTTTGAAGACTAATATTCACGAGGTTACTAGATAACATGTAAGTTGTAACACGTTTCACTGGGTGTGGACCTGGTGTGGCCATAGCCAATGCCATATATGGCGGATTCCTGACGTCACATAGCGTAGCGCGTCATCACAACAGCGCAGCCTCGTGATTGGTTCCAGCGATTAGATAATAGGAACGGCCCGCCTTTATTAGGACCACGCGGTGTGTATAGCGCGAATATTTCCCGCGCGCTGTCACATTGGAACACTCGCCTCAGCTGGACAAGTTCAGGAAAATTTCGTTGGTGTATGTTTTGCAAAACCTCAATATCCGTAGAAATGTTAACACCACCACAAGTACCCGTAGGAATGGGTGATCTTATTGTGTTAAAGGTAAGCAATATTATTACTAACTGACTTTCATGTGGACTTTGAGACTGGTGGAGTGGTGCCAAAGGCAAAGTTGTAGTTGATTTACCAAAATCAAGATTTAACTGCGGTGTTTACAAATTGGTCAGTTTTACCAGTAGTTTAGCTTCCTAGCTTGGGGAACGTTTGAACCATGAAATACGTGCTACCTTCACTATTTCCGCTGAAGTAACAAGCAGGCAGTAACAATGTAATTAGTAAACGTAGTTTCATCTGAAGTGCTGTACGGTCACAGTGTACTTAGCTCTAGAAATATAGCCCTCCGCTCCGCCGCAGGACTGATATAGTTCTAGAGCTACAGTGTACTGTAACTGTGTGTGCTATTTGTGAACCCTTGTCATCCCATCGTCACGAATGTGTACAAAATTTCAGTACTATTTCGAATTATTAATTCTGTCTAGGTGCATTGCAAACAACAAAATAATAGCTATCGTTAATTCAGGTTTCGTGTTAGAATATGCCCTACAACACCCATGTTGTAGTTAGGCGGTCATAAATTTTTGATAACATAAGAAGAGAAATAGGATTTATGGTTGCAGTGAGTGTTAGCTAGCATTACTGTTTCTTCATTTTGTAATTGTGCATATTGCAGGAGAAGTTAGTGCAGCAGCAGCAACAGGTGGACATGCTACTGGCTGACAGGGCTGCAGCCACACTGGCTTCATTCCATTTCCAAGAGCAACTTCATGCCCAGGTGTGTAACTATTTTGAGTGCTTTGCCAATGGCTTGGTTGTACTGTACAGTGTACAGTGAATCCTAAATTGAAACCGTAATTGAAGCACGGCACAATGTTTTATGCACTTTAAACTTTTTTGCTTTGAGTTAGGCACAAAATTTGTTGAAATAATATATGGTGGTATTCTTGTCGTGAAAAAGTATTTCAATTACTTTATGTGAAGGTATAAAAATGATAAAATATCATATATGATATGATGATTATTTGGAAATATGTTTCCAAGCTTATGTGAGATCTCTATGCACCGATATTGTATCTTGCTTATTCTGTCAATACTAGTAAGCTAACGATGGGATTCCTTCTTCAAAATAGGTTTGTCGTGTGTCGTCTGCACAGGAGTCCCGAGCGATTTCCAGAGGTTTAGATTCTGCATCGCCTCCTCTGCACAGGAGGTTTGACCGCAGCGTTAGCGAGCCGCCTCCTGATCGTGTGAAGAGCAGTCGCTACAAGACGGAGCTATGCAGGCCGTTCGAGGAGACTGGAGCGTGCAAGTACGGAGAGAAGTGCCAGTTTGCTCACGGTGCTCATGAGCTGCGCGTGTTGCCGCGCCACCCTAAGTATAAGACGGAGATGTGCCGCACCTTTCACACGACGGGACTATGTCCCTATGGACCGCGCTGTCACTTCGTACACAATCCTGACGAAAACATCCAGGAGGAGAGCTACGAGCAGCCGAAGGTGGCACTGCAGCAGCAGCACGTGAGGTCGTCCATTTCCAGCGGCCTGTCGTACAGCAGCGGCTCACTGTCCCAGTCGCCGCTCTCTAGTCCAGGATCACTGTCCCCGAAAAACGAGAAGACCTTGTTTGCATTCGACCAGGACGCCCTCGCATTGGCATTGAAGTCTGTTTCGATCGATCAAGTTCCTCAGAGCAGGCTGCTCCTGCAGCCGGTTCCCGAGCAAAATCGTACCAACTATCTACAAGACAGCACCCGTGGAATCAGGTTGCCCATCTTCAACAACTTTGGTATTAAACCTTAATTAACCCATGAACTAGAAAACTATAATGACACGGGTTACTGTTTGTTGTTGGTTCTTGGGCTACTGGATATGTTTTTACATATTTCCAATACTAGTGTCAGGGATGATAACATCACAAGCTGAATGAGCTGTGCCATGTGATATTTCTCAATAATGATATTTAAAAATTTTGCACTAAATTTAGTGTTTTTGTAACTTAAAATTATGAGGTAGATTATTTAATTATCCTTAGTAGTGTTTGGCATTTTTTGTTTGTTTTCTTTTTTAGTTGGAAATAAAGGTTGATAATTTATGTCGTTTTATAATGTAAAGGTGAGCCAAGAAACGTATCTGCTCACAAGCCAAACTGCTTGGTCCGGTTTGCTGTGCATGGCGATGTTATTTATTAATATCAGTCTCTCGAGTGTCTGGAAATCGAGGACTTGTGAAACAGTAATTTTCTACATGTTGGGTTTTGTGCCTGCAGTTATTGTATTGGGTGGACCCTGGTAAATTATTTTGCAGAAGTTGAATTTATATTGTGAAGGATACATTGAGGACTGGGTATTTGTTTGTTCATTCCACTGGTACTGTACAGTCAATATATTTCAACCACTACATTTTTAAATTGTAAAAATTTCAAAACTATTCATAAGCAATTATTTTTGCAGCATTCTGGCAGAATTACATATTTTTAATTTCATGATTCCAGACATTAAATCTATTTGCATGTAGTATTACAATTTATTATTTATTATAATTTGTTATATTTATATTTATTAGAAAGGGTCTGTCACCTTCGGTAGTGGTACTTGAAACAATATTCTGATTACTTCTGTAAAACGTTCACATTCCGACCAAAGAGATTTTAGTTTTGTAAAAATGATATTGTATTGTAACGTTTTGTACAGAAAATAAAATGTTTTCCATTACCTGGACGTGTATTGTCATTTCTGGTAAACATTGCCCGCTCATCAGCTTCCAGACATCTAGAATCCATACCACACGTTACTAGTTTGCTTTCACGGTATATCCGTTTGATTTCCTGCTATGGAAATCATTGTTCGGTATTCGGTTAAAATTTTGCCGCTGTGATACAAAGTATAGCAGTAGGCCTATTGTTTCTAAAATTCAAACGCAGGGTCCTGGATCTCAAGGCCGTTTGTTTGTGGTGAATGATCGCGTGTTTGCGCAAATGATCACGTGATCGCGTGAATTATTCACGTGGTTGATTTTATTTTTGTTTATTTAAAATGACGTGACAACATCAAGTCTGAAAACTTCTTTACAATGTGTAGCTGATGGGTTAGAGATGACATTTATCTGGAATCAAGAAAAATATCACTGAAAAACTGGGAACGCTGTTTGTTGGAGTTGGATGCGAAATGTTTATTGCTTTGTAGCATATGTATCAGTATCAGCGCTTCTAATTCAACTTTCAAGACAATGTTCGGCACGTTCCTTAATTCATAAAAACGCAAATTTGAATTATGTGCATTTCGGATAATTAAACTCCCGTTCTGTACAATGAAGCGTTTTTGCCAATTTTGGCTGTATTTGTCAAAACATAGCTATAACAAATATAAACATAAATATCATATGTAAACGCATTCGGTTGTATTTAAACACAAATATTGTGTTTTTATATATCTATGGTCAAAGTCAGGTGAATTAAAACATTTTGGCAGCATACTTTATGATTAAAAATCATATACACTTTGGCACCCACATCTCGACAAACGCGTGATTATTTGCCGAAAACGTTGTTGGGCGAAAAACATAACCAAAGGTGGCGCTGCGATGCAATATGCTGGTAAATGCTAAGCTGGCTGTTCACTGTGTGTTCCAAATTATGTGTTTGTAACTTTGTATCACGGAGCTGTATCACATGTCAGTGGGTTTTATATATTCATGGTGCTGTCATGAGCCCCTCATGAGCATAATTATGTATATCTATTATCATAAACTATGTTCACCCCTGACTAGCTAAACACTATCCTTTTAGTTATTTATCCTGTTTCGCTTGCCCTAACCATATTTATGGAAATGATATAAAATCGTTTTCCTGCGTAACGTTTTAATGTCGATGTGATAACTCTTCACACATTAACATTTTCGACTTGCGGTGTACTGACACTAGTTTATGACTTGTGCGTAATTGTGATGTTATACATTGTATCAAACAAGCTAGACAATGCGTCTAGACATGTATTTAAAGATGCACGTCTACAGTATGTACGTTGGGGCACGGGGGGATCATTGTTTACGCAGCCCGTGTGTGACGTGCCTTTGCTACTTTAAATGAAATAATAAACTTCTAGCACAGAGCTTGGAGTAATCATTTTGATGCCAGAATGATTTCATTGATTACTCCAAGCATAGAGAGGGCATGTGAAAACATGGGTCTAACCATATGATTCAGTAAGTATATAGTGAAATTCGAGACGACTAGCGCTCTTTTTAGTAATTAGACATTGCAATAGATATTTCTCATTGTAAATTGTGTGAGTCTGTGTTATTACACGTACAGGCCTGTGGCGGAGCGGAGGGCTAGGGCCTATAGCTAGGGCAACAGCAGCTTGCAACCAAAGCAGCTTGTATCCATTATTATACTTCTATGCATGTTATATTTCTATGCATGTATCCCAACAATGGCGCCAAATTTACTATGGATTTCCGTTGTCTGTCCTGTTCTCTGCATTCAAGTTGTTGACTAATGATAGATATTTGTTGGCCATCAAGTACTATCCCCGCAATTTCAACAATAGATAAACCACATATATCGGCATTTTTGTAACACTAGTACTCGGTAATAATAGCAGAGTTTAAACAACAATCGTCACGGCAGATGGCAGCAGCAACAGGATATGTTGCAGAAGTAGCAGCATTCGCAGAAGCAACAGGCAATAGAGAGCAGCGGCCCTTTTAGATAAGCTGTTATATCGTATCCGGACAACTACATAGTTGAACTACCCCTGTACGTTGAACTACCCCTGTACAACTACCCCCGGACAACAGTGGCTTAGCAGCCTTTTGTAGTCTCTGCCCTTAAATAAT